GTCGGGGTTTGCCTGTCTTCCATTTTCCGCGCGGGGCTAATAAAAAGCAGAGATCAATGACACAAGAACGAAGAAGAGGCCCCAGGAGAGCAAGAGCAGAAAGAGAATTATGCTAACGGAGTTCCCCACAAAAGAGATTAACGGTTTCGCGGGACCCATTTTCTCGATGCCCTCCTCGCTTTGGCGGGGCCCCGCTGGAAGGGGGGAGGGCTACGAAACCTGGCGAAGAGCAATGCTTTCCGCGACCCTCCTCGTTCAAGCGCGGCCTCTCTGGAGGAGTGAAGGGGGGACACGAAACCGTGTAAACAGCATGTTTTCCGATACCCTCCAGGAAGAAGAGGAGGGGGAGGAGGAGGAGGAGGAGGAGGAGGAGGAGGAGGAAGAAGAGGATAAGATGGATGATGGCGAAGAGCAGCAGCAGGAACCGCAGCAGGAGCAGCAGCGGGAGGTTGGTTTGAGTGGTCTCATTTTCCTCGTGAGGTCCGATTCGTGAGGTTGGTCTGAGTGGTCTCATTTCCCTCGTCCAGTCGAGGTTATACAAGAGGGTGGGCGACACGAGTTCGCTAGACGAAAGCACTTGCCGAGGTGTCTGGTAACTACAATTCGAACGCAGACACTGATCGGCCAAGAGCGGTTTAAAAGACTGCCAATAATCTCCCAAACAATGTATCGCTGCATTATGGTTTTGTGCACACGGCGTTAACCTACTAGCCTGACTGTACTCGGGCCGACGCGTGGGGGGGCTTCTCTTAAGCCCACGCGGAGTGCTATTTAATCGCAGCCACTGCAGTGAAGACCGATGGTAGTACGATTCCAAGTCACCTCCACCTGCTGCAACGCAAGCGCCGCTACACCAGGGTTTTTACCCTCCTCGCTCAGGCGGGGCCTCCCTGCAGGGGTGGGAGGGGCACGAAACCATGTAAATAGTATGGTTTTCGGATACCCTCCTCGCTCAGGCGGGGCCTCCCTGGAGAGGTGGGAGGGGCACGAAACCATGTAAATAGTATGGTTTTCGGATACCCTCCTCGCTCAGGCGGGGCCTCCCTGGAGGGTGGGAGGGGCACGAAACCATGTAAATAGTATGGTTTTGCCTCCCTGGAGAGGTGGGATGGGGCACGAAACCATGTAAATAGTATGGTTTTCGGATACCCTCCTCGCTCAGGCGGGGCCTCCCTGCAGGGGTGGGAGGGGCACGAAACCATGTAAATAGTATGGTTTTCCGATACCCTCCTCGCTCAGGCGGGGCCTCCCTGGAGGGGTGGGAGGGGCACGAAACCATGTAAATAGTATGGTTTTCCGATACCCTCCTCGCTCAGGCGGGGCCTCCCTTCGGGAGGACCTGTAAATAGATGGTTTTCCGATACCCTCCTCGCTCAGGCGGGGAGGGGCACGAAACCATGTAAATAGTATGGTTTTCCGATACCCTCCTCGCTCAGGCGGGGCCTCCCTGGAGGGGTGGGAGGGGCACGAAACCATGTAAATAGTATGGTTTTCCGATACCCTCCTCGCTCAGGCGGGGCCTCCCTGGAGGGGTGGGAGGGGCACGAAACCATGTAAATAGTATGGTATTCCGATACCCTCCTCGCTCAGGCGGGGCCTCCCTGGAGGGGTGGGAGGGGCACGAAACCATGTAAATAGTATGGTATTCCGATACCCTCCTCGCTCAGGCGGGGCCTCCCTGGAGGGGTGGGAGGGGCACGAAACCATGTAAATAGTATGGTATTCCGATACCCTCCTCGCTCAGGCGGGGCCTCCCTGGAGGGGTGGGAGGGGCACGAAACCATGTAAATAGTATGGTATTCCGATACCCTCCTCGCTCAGGCGGGGCCTCCCTGGAGGGGTGGGAGGGGCACGAAACCATGTAAGTAGTATGGTTTTCGGTATGGAGTGGTATGGAATGGTATGGTAGGTATGGTATGGTACGGTATGGTATGATATGGTATGGTATGGTACTGGAGGTATGGTATGGTATGGTACGGTGTGGCATTGGTGTGATATGGTATGGTATGCTATGGTACGCCATGGTATGGTATGGTACGGTATGGTACGTATGGTGTGGTATGGTATGGTATGGTATGGTATGGTATGTGTGGTAGGAACTATGGTATGGTATGGTGTGTGTGGTAGGAATAATATTGTGCTGTATGGAAGATGGAGCGGGAGGTGGGTGGGAAGGAGAGGGTGCTCTGGGAAAACAAGAACCCCACTCAGGATGTGGGGAAAAAAAGGTCGGAGTGCGAGCAAAAATGTACCAACATCACGGAAGCACTGACCTCAAAAGAACGCCCCCTCCTGATGGCCTTAAAAAATTACAAACTCCGTTCCCCCCCCACCGATTTCTCCCGGGGCGCGCCCTGACCAGGACTTCGAGGCGAGCCCAGCCATGGCGACGATGGACGGGTTTGTAGCGGTATCGGCGTTTCTTCCTCGTTTGGTGGGCGTTTGTCCAAACCATCCTGTGGTGTTTTTTGAAGAGACAGCGCCCCGCGTTCCTTCCTCCTCCCGCTGCCCCCTCCCTCCTCCTGGCATCATCGTCATCATGATCACCATCACCATCATTAGCACCATCAAAAAATAGGAACCATGGCAATCATAGTCGGCACCACCATCATCAGCATCATCATCACAGTCGGCATCCGTATCAACATCATCATCATCATCATCATCACCACCATCATCATCAGCAGCAGCATCACCATCATCACCATCACAATCAGCATCCGTATCAGCATCATCGCCATCATCATCATCACCACCATCGTCATCATCATCATGGTCATCATCATCAGCATCATCATCATCACCATCACCGACCTCGGCACATTCCCAGTTTGGTACACTTCATTCTGGCACGTCTCACGAGGACCGTGGCTCCATAGGGAGCTCCACCGAAGGCGCCACGAGCAAAGTCCGCATGGCGGCCTTGGGCCATTCACGAGGACCGTGGCCCCATAGGGAACTCCACCGAAGGCGCCAGCGGCATAGTTCGCATGGCGGTGGCGGCCTCGTGCAATTTCGGCACACCCCTCACGAGGATCGTGGCCCCATAGGAGCTCCACCGAAGGCGCGATTAGCAAAGTTCGCACGGCGGCCTCGGGCCATTTCGGCACACCCCTCACGAGGATCGTGGCCCCATAGGAGCTCCACCGAAGGCGCCGGTGGTTCGCATGGCGGCCCTGGGCCATGTCGGCACACCCCTCGCGAGGATCGTGGCCCCATAGGGAGCTCCACCGAAGGCGCCAGTAGCAAAGTTCGCATGGCGGCCTCGAGCTATTTCGGCACACCCCTCACGAGGATCGTGGCCACATAGGGAGCTCCACCGAAGGCTCCAGCGGCAGGGTTCGCATGGCGGCTTCGGGCCATTTCGGTACACCCGTCATGAAGATCGTGGCCCCATAGGGAGCTCCACCGAACGCCCAAACGGCAGCGTTCGCATGGCGGCCTCGGGCCATTTCGGCACCCCTCACGAGGATCGTGGCCACATAGGGAGCTCCACCGACGGCGCCAGCGGCAGGGTTCGCATGGCGGCCCCGGGCCATTTCGGCACACCCCTCACAAGGATCGTGGCCACACAGGGAGCTCCACCGAAGGCCCCCAGTGGCAGGGTTCGCATGGTGGCCTCGGGCCATTTCGGCACACCCTTCACGAGGATCGTGGCCCCATAGGGAGCTCCACCGAACGCCCAAGCGGCAGGGTTCGCCTGGCGGCCTCGGGCCATTTCGGCACACACCCACAAGGATCGTGGCCCCCTGGGGAACTCCGCCGAAGGCGCCAGTGGCAGGGTTCGCGCGGCGGCCTCGGGCCATTTCGGCACACCCCTCACGAGGATCGTAGCCACATAGGGAGCTTCACCGACGGCGCCAGTGGCAGGTTTCGCACGGCGGCCTCGGGCCACGTCGGCACACCCCTCGCTAGGATCGTGGCCCCATAGGGAGCTCCGCCGAAGGCCCCACCAGCAGGGCTTGCACGGCGGCCTTGGGCCATGTCGGCGCACCCGTCACGAAGATCGTGGCCACGTAGGGAGCTCCACCGAAGGCGCCAGTAGCAAAGTTCGCATGGCGGCCTCGGGTCACGTCGGCACACCCCTCACGAGGATCGCGGCCCCATAAGAGCTCCAGCGAAGGCGCCAGTGGCAAGGTTCGCATGGCGGCCTCGGGGCATTCCGGCACACCCCTCACGAGGATCGTGGCCCCATAGGGAGCTCCACCGCAAGCGCCAGTTGCAGGTTTCGCATGGCGGCCTCGGGTCATGTCGGCACACCCCTTCACGAGGATCGTGGCCCCATAGTTGTGTTGCTTCAACAACCGCGCCTGGGCGTCGTACTCCGCCATCTCCTCCCTCATGGCTCTCAAAGCCCTCTTTTTCTTCTGCTCCTCGGTCAGAGGGACGCCGTCCTTGTCGTCGTCGGCGCCCGCGAAGACGGCCACCAACGTGTTCCTGAGCATGTCGGGTTCCGGCGGGAAGCTGTGGCCACATAGGGAGCGCAGGCAAAGATGGTATTCACAGTTGCGGTATTCCATATGGTTGGGTCCTTCGCCAGGCTATTTTTTTATTCGGCGTTTCGACATTGGGCGGCAAGGGGGGGAGGGGGGATCTGCTTCTAGACCTCTGTTTAGCGCGACTGTTTGCAAGAGTGCGTCCTCTGGGTGAAGCTCCACCTGCCTGAAACAGGCGCCAAAAACAGCCAAGATCTACTCCATGAGTTGTGTTGCCCCTATTGTACTTACGGACCACATCCCACAAATAATTTCGAACACCCAAAAAAGTATCGAACAACGTCGAACGAGTATCGCATCCCAGGGCCCGAAACGTGAAAACCCTCTAGTTTCGGTACTTTCTTGGTGCTCGAAATTCTTTCTGGCGGTCGGGGCTAAAGGAAGTTGGAACATCATAATCCATGAGGGGGGGCGAGGGCCCGCGCCGATCGGCAAGACAACAAATAAAAAACACGATCGCCATTTGATGCGCGCCGCCAGCTGTTCGGCTCCCCCCTCCGAGGCTCCTCCCCGACCACGTACCCCGCGTCCACGAGCTTCCGCCGCAGCCCTGGCCCCCCAGCCTCGACCACCACGAAGGCGTCCTGTCGGGGGCCGTGAAGAGCGCCACCACTGGATAGACGTTGAAAACAACAGCATCGGAAAAACACGCACAGAAACAGCAAGCGGTCTCCGGTCACCCTCGATATCACCTCCGACCCAGATCACCACCAGCGCCAGTCGGGCCTCGATCACCACGAAGAAAAAACGTGGGGGAGAGATCAGCGCCAGATTAAGGCAGCCCTTCTCCTCTCGTTGCGCCCTTCGGGAAAGAAGAAACAGATAAACATAACTTTCAGAGGTCCGCGCGGATTTCTTAGAATTGCGCTGGGCCCCGTCCGCGCCAGGGGCGGCGCCGGAGGCGCCGCCGGGGGACCCAGCGCGGATCCGAGATACCGCGAGGAACGCGGAGCGCGCCAGGGCCGGCGCCGGGGCACCCAGCGCGGATCCGAGAAGCCCGCGAAGAACGCCAAAAATGTATGTTTGTGGCGTTTTGTTCCTCTTCGACTTCTCCTTTTCTCGTTGCGTCTTCCTCGTCGAAAGGAAATTAGGGTGCGCCCTGCCGGGCCCCGGCCCTGCCGGCCCTGCCGGCCCCGCCGGCCCTGCTGGCCTGGGCCCCGCGGGGATTCGGCATCCGGGCGGTCCAAGACGGCCGCGGAGACCACCAGGATGGCCACGAGAATACAGGTGGAGGCCAGTCCAGAAGAAACCTCCCACGAGAAGCCCAACCCTGAGACCCCAGGGCGTCCATTAATGTTTGGTGTGGGAACGGCACGCTTTCCATGGAAAGACCATCGAAACCCAAGAAACCCAGGGCACCCTGGAGGCAAGCAGGGTGACCCTTGGCATGGGCCCCCCACTGTACCCAAGAGGACTCCAAGACGGCCCCGAAAATGCCCAAGAGGCCCCCAAGACAGCCCCAAGAGGGCCCCCAGACGGCCCGGGATACCCCCAAGACGCACAAGACGGCCTTCAAAACGGCCCCGAAGATCCCCAAGGAGCCCCAAAGAGCACCCAAGTCGGCCCAGAGAGGCTCCCAAGCCGACGGCGTCAGACGGTCCAGGGAGGCCCTCAGACGGCCAAAGGGCCTCCCAGGCAGCCCCCAAAGGCCCCCCCCAAAGGCCCAAAAAATCCCCAAAGGGGACTCCAAGAGGCCTCGAGGAAGCTCCCAGGAGGCTCAAAGGGTGCCCAAAGAGGCTTCCAAGAAGCCTCCTCCTCCTCCTCCTCCTCCTCCTCCTCCTCCTCCTCCTCCTCCTCCTCCTCCTCCTCCTCCTCCTCATCCCCCGTGTTCCTCCATCTCCTCCTCTTTCTCGTTTTCCGGATCAGGTTCCCCGAAGGGTATCCACAACGGCTGGGGGAACACATAGTTTCGATAGCTGTGCCGAGCTCTGGCCGAAACGTTCGGCCACATAGGCGAAGCCTCCATCTGCCTCCAGGAAGCTCCAATAGGCCCCAAGAGTACCCCAAGAGGCTCCCAAGAGGCCTCATCCTGTCCGTCCTCCTCCTCCCTCTCCTCCTCCGCCCTCCTCCTCCTCCTCCCCCTCCTCCCCCTCCTCCTCCTCCTCCTCCTCCTCCGCTCCTCCTCCTCCTCCTCCTCCTCCTCCTCCTCCTCCTCCTCCCCTCCTCCCCCTCCGCCTCCTCCCTCCTCATCCCTCATCCCTCATCCCATCCTCGCTCCTACCTCCTCCCTCCTCCCTCCTCCCTCCTTCCTCCTCATCCCTCCTCCCTCCTCCCTCCTCCTCCCTCCCACCTCTGTTTCCCCTCCCTCCTCCCTTCCTATGGATTGTAAACTGGGAAACAGGTTGGCCTCTCGCGTATAGCGATCTCGCCCTGGCACTGGCTCAACGTCGACCTCGCTTGACCACCTGCCTGGTCGTCTTTGCATTCGGCCGCCCTGCAAGTTCTGTTGCGACATTGCGCGTGTGGGCCATGGCTGCGGCGATGCTGGCGATCCTGTCGAGGACGCTGGCGCAGTCCAAACGCTCCTCTCGAGCGCGACGCAACATCTCGCTCGCCTAACCATTCTGCCGCAGATGCGTCCGCATCAGCGTAACCATCTAGACCCGCGGTGCGCGACCGAGGCCTAGTCCCAACACATCTGGCGCGCCACATGTAACGCGAAAAAGTGTCATTATGCGGCATGTCGTGCGTGCGCTGATTGTATCCGATACCGTCGGTTACTGGACGCCTGCGTCGACACGTCCTGTCGGCAATACGCTCGGACGTACAACGTATGCTTTTGCGGCAAGTACAATTGGGAGGAAGTCCTTGGCCTTGATCCATCGAAATGACTGTGTTCGTGCTCTCGCCGCGCCATCACGGCAACAAGGTTATGAAGGAGTACGTTCTGAACCGAGTGCGCTCGGCTTCTCCACGTGTTCAACGCGTGCCCCAACGCAGCGTTCTTGTATGAGCCGCGACGAGTGCGACGCTGAGAAGTCGCGCTAACATGTAGTTCCGCTGCGCATGTGTTTCAACATGGCAATCGCCACCGTAAGCGTGACGTAACATCGGGCCGCTATACTTTGTTCCTCCTCATGTCTTCCACCTTCTGACCCCTCATCCTCCCGCGGTTCGTCACTGAGAACCTCCGAAGGTGTGGAACTAAACGAAACGAAGGACGCGAAAGAGGCGCAGGAGTATGAAGAGCCCCGAAGGAGTGAAGACTCCCAGATGATGAAGACGCCCACGCTGAATACCCAAATATTGTACGATCGTGTTCCGATTCCTCGACCGAGGAAGATGATGGTCGAGAGCGCGAGGAACGAGCGTCGCGCTGCCTCCCGCTGCCCTGGAGGTCCCCAGAGGCCCCCAGAGAGTTCCGGAGCTGGAGGCCAAAAAAGGCCCGAAATACACACACACACACAGGAAGCTCCATCTCCGACCCTCCAACGTGATGATGTCGACGACGACGACGACGACGACGACGACGGCGACGACGACGACGACGACGACGACGGCGACGGCGACGACGACGACGACGACGACGACGACGACGACGGCGGCGGCGGCGGCGGCGGCGGCAGCGGCGGCGGTTAAGGCCAAATCAGCGTCGACGACAGTGACGGCGGCGGCGAACATGACTGCGACGACGGCAGCGGCGTAGGCGAAGGCCGAGGCGGAGGTGAAGGCCCCGACGACGACGACGACGACGACGACGACGACAACGACTGCGGAGACGGCGGCGGCGGCGGCGACGACGGCAGCGGCGGACGCGGAGTTGGCGGCGGCGACGGCAGTCTCTGCGGGGCTGTCCTTGAACACCTGCCGCCAGGCCGCACCGCCCCACGGCCCAGGGGCGGGCGCACGACGGTGCGTGACATCCTCCTCCGCCCACGCCTCCTCCGCCGCCAACTCTTCTGCCTCCGCCTAGGCCTCTTCCACATCCTAGTCCTCGGCCCCCTCCGCCTCCACCGCCACCTCCGCCTCCTCCTCATCCTCCAACTCCTCCTCCTCCTCCTCCTCCTCCTCCTCCTTCTCCTCTCTCCTCTCCTGCTCCCCTCCTCCTCCCTCCTCCTCCTCCTCCTCCTCCTCTCCTCCTCCTACTACTACTACTACTACTACTACTACTACTACTACTTACTACTCCTACTACTACTCCTACTCCTACTCCTACCTACTCCTACTCCTACTCCTCCTCCTACTCTCTCGTCCTCCTGCTCCCTCCTCCTCCTCCTCCTCCTCCTCATCCTCCTTCTCCTCTCTCCTCCTCTCCTCCCTCCTCCTCCTCCTCCTCCTCTTTCCACCTCCTCCTTCTCCTCCTCCTCCTCCTCAACCTCCTCCTCCTCCTCCTCTCTCTCCTCCTCTCCTCCTCCTCCTCCTCCTCCTCCTCTCCTCCTCCTCCTCCTCCTTATCATCCTCTCCTCCTCCTCCCCCTTCCTCCTCCTCTCCTCTTCCTCCATCCTCCTCCCTCCTCCTCCTCCTCCTCCTCCTCCTGCTCTTCCTCCCCCTCCCCCCCTTCTTTTCCTCCCCCTCCCCCTCCCCCTCCTTTCCTCCCCCTCCCCCTCCCCAATCCCCCTGGTCCGCTTTATCCTCCGCATCCTCCTCCTCCCACTTGGAACCCGGTGGGAGACCGACCACCGCACCACCGCCACCAGGCCCTGGCCGCCGGCGACTCCTAGACTCCTGGGGAGAAGCTTCCCAGGGCGCTGGCCAGGCCAAAAAGTACCGCGGCAGGCCGACGGCGGCAACTTACAGCCGCCGGCCCCCAAGCTGGGCCCGCAGAGAGGCTGCCAACGAATCGCGGATCGATCCAGCTGCTTGCACAGGGGGGGGGGTACAATAGAATCGGTCGGTGTCGCACGCAGGCCATCGGAGCGCTTCGTCGATCCGATCGGGTCGCAGACGGCCCAGGAGAGCCCCTCGCGCCCAAACCGCCGGAGATCCCAAAACTAATCCGCCTGATAGCATTACGTGTCCTTTTGAAGCTGCTGGGAACCTCCAACAGAAAATTCGTAGAACAGAGTCGACCTACTAACAGAAGAAACGCTAACTAACGAACAGAGTCGACCTACTAACAGAAGGAATGCTAAATAAGGAACGAAGCCCCTTTGGGGCCCCAGAAGCTCCCAGGTGCACGAGTAGCGCTCGAGGAACAGCCATGGAAAGACCCAAACAACGGCGAGCCCCTGTCGAACCCGAACTCGTCCCATGCTCAACGTCTCAACTGGACTGCCGAGACCCTCCTAAGACCTCCGAGAACCGCTGGGAACCTTCTGCGCTTGGGCCAGCTCGTCGGCGTCGGCGCTGCCAGTCGGCGGCGCGCAGGGGCATAGGGGGGTGGCAGCTCTCTGCGAAGGCCCCCTGCTTCGACGAGAAGAGGCCCCGGGGCGTGCAGCCTCTCCGGTCGGCGGCCCCCTTCCGAGCGGCTCTCCCAGCAGGGGCCGCCCCCATCGCCCCCCGGCAGGCTCGGGACGGCCCCTCTCGGCGGCGCCTGGGAGCACCTCCGCGAGCGCCCCCCCTGGGCTGAGGCACACACACCCCGGTGGAGGAGGAGGAGGAGAAGGAGGAGGAGGAGGAGGAGGAGGAGGCGGAGGAGGAGGCGGAGGAGGAGGAGGAGGAGGAGGAGGAGGAGGAGGAGCGGCGGCGGTCCCAGCAACGACGTGGTGTCCAGAGCCGACGGCGGCCGCTGTTGGGCGGGATGCGCCGGTCCCAAAACGGGCACCGCCCGCGGCGGCGCAGACAGCGACACCAGGGCTCGAGCGAAGCAGTGCTTTCCATCTTCGAGTTGTTTTCGTGTTCCCTCGTTCTGTCTTCGTTCCGCCTCTGCTGCGAAACGACATCAAAAACGAAAACGGTCCACGAGGTCGCCCAAATACCGTTTAGCTCGAGCTCTGAGCGATACCTGGTCACAAGCGGCAGGAACTGCTTCCCGCCTCATCTCTCGCTCTTTCCGCCCCTGTGCTCTGCTGCCACGCGCACAGAGGGCCCACACGCAAGAGCAGCCTCTGGTGCGCGGCCTCCGCAGAGGGGGAACCCGGCAAGCGCGCCAGCCGTCGCCACCGTGCCAGAGGCAACTCGGGCGAGGGGTCACTCTGATACTATAAGAGATCCCCCCAGATGGGTTCCGAGAGGACGGGGTCAGAGGATCGCGCCGTATCGCCGAGCCATCGGCGATGCATCAGCGCCGTCGGCGTGGAGAACATCGGGCACCGCATCGAGCCGCATCGCCGATGCATCGGCGATGCGGCGCGATCTTCCGACCCCATCTACGCAAAGATAGCGTGCAACACCGATCTCCGAAAAGCACGCTATCCCCCTAAAATGCGGCTTCCTCCGTGCACGCTATCCCTCTGAGACGATCCCCCCTGTGAGGGTACCTTCTGTGCGCGCTATCCCCCTGACAGGACTTGCTCCGTGCACGCTGTCCCCAAGGTGGGAGATATCGTGTAGTAAGCCAGCTGGCGGCGCCACGCTATCTTTGTGACGCCAACCAATCGGGGGCGTCCACGAGTCCAAGAGGGGGGCGTGCAAGGGGGGGGCGCAAATCATGGCCGGCGGCACGTGCGCGGCTCAGGGGGGGGGTAACCAGGGAACGTACTGTAATGAGAAGAGCCGCCATGAAATCTGAGGCAATATCATGGCCCCTGCCATGATGTCCACCCTCCCCTGGTCCTAACCCCCCTCTTGACCGCCCCCCAAGTCCGTCGGAACCTCGTTCGGGGATCTGCTGACCCGGGTCAATCCAGACCCGGGTCAGCCAGGCCTTGCAGAATCTTGCAGGACCCTGCAAGATCCTGCACCCAAACCCGGGTCAACGCGAAGGATCCTGCAAGATCCTGCCGAATCCTGCTCCCCAACCCGGGTCAAGGCGACACGGGCCCTGCAGGATCCTGCGAGCTCGGGCGCTCTGGCTGACCCCCGCTTGCATGGACCCCCGCCTCGAGGCTCCCGAGCCCGTGACCCCTGGCGCGCCGCCGGGCCAGACTCCCGCAGGCGCCGCAGGCGGTGCCAGTCGCCGCAGCCCGACACGAGCAGCAGCAGGGCCCCGGGGGGCAGCGCCGCGGCGGCCGCGGCGACCTCGCCGTCGAGCCGCCGCAGGCAGTCCTCGACGCACGCGCGGCTCGGCGGCGCCTGAGCCGGGGGCGGCCAAGGAGGGGCCGGGAGGGGGGCGTCCAAGAGGGGGGGGCGCAAATCATGGCCGGCGGCACGCGTGCGCGGCCCAGAGGGAGGGGCCAGGGACGTGACATCTGAGGAAAGATCCTGGCCCACGCCATGGTCTCCACCCACCCCCGCAGTTCTCACCCCCCCTCTTTTGGACGCCCCCGGCTGAGGCGAGGCAGGATCGGGGCATGGAGGAGGCGGGGCAGGCGTGCGATTGCCCGCCGCACGAAGAAAATCGAGTCTTTCTTTGTAGCGTGCAGGGTATCTTCTGACAGTATTCGGCGGTGGGCAAACCTCCCTTTAGTAAACCACCCCTTAGTGAAAACGACCTAAGACCGAAACCGACGGACCTGGACCCGAGAAAATGACGGCCGCGACGCCCCCTCGCGAACCGAAGACGGCCAATTCCTGAATCGACGTGTCAGGGTAGGAGGTCTATCAACCTCCGAAGCATGATATACGGGGCAGGCGTGCGATTGTCCGTCGCATAAAGAAAAGTACCTCCTGGCAATATGAGATGCACGCGACTGACGGTGATGGCTGCGGCGACGGGCCGGCACGCTCGAGGTCGCGCGCACCCGAGTGGGGCTGCCGGCGCCCATCTCCGGGTACGAGTCGGGCTGCTTGTGGCCAGCAGGACTGCGCCAGTGCTTCTCGACCACTGCCCACCAGGGCGGGCGCCGACCAGGCTGCTGATCGGCCGCCACGCCAACGGATGGTCACAAGAAATCCAGTCTTGGATATCCTCGCGGGAGCTGCTGCCAATGCCGTGCGCCGTCGGACCCCCCTTCGGCAGCATGCTCTCTTGCAGCGGCGGGGGGCCCGACTTGTGCGGCGCAGGCTCCTCCGAACCACGCTGGACGCCATGGAGGCTGACATAGCTCTGGGGCCTGGGGAAAAAACAGCATCTCCTCCCCAATCCTCGTTCTCCTTCTGGTGTTCCGCTCCCCTTCTTCTCATCCCCACACTGTCTGGCTGACCCTGGGATGAAGTGCGCGCAGCGTGGTGGGTCGCATCCATGGCCACAGCCACGGAATGGCGGAATACTCCACGTCTCCAATCCATTAACTGATCGGGCCCATCCTGTATACCCCCCCGCCCCCCCCTCCCTGGCTAGGCTGCACATAGCGGGGGGGGGCACCAGTGACAGATCAGCATCACACCCAACTTGGGCTCTAGCAGTGTCGCGCGTGCGGATGCTTCGCCATTTCTGAATTGTGCAAAGATGGCACGAAATGTCCTGCCCCTCTAAGATTACCCCCAATCGCGCGGAAGATCTGGACAGGATCAGCCGAGGTCTCTGGCCCATGGTGTTGGGCACCTTCGAAAAGAGGGCTCGAGACCGTCTCTAACTCATACATTCATGCGACGTTGTGTATCATACGCATCATGCTAGTATCAGTTGACTCTGTCATCTGGTCACGCTCATATTCATAGTCATACTCATACTCGTATTACATACGCATACCCAAACTACTCCTCAGTCATCGATCCCCCTCCTCCTCATCCCCCTGGATCATATTCCTGCTCATGCCCTTCCTCATACTCTTGTTCGGAATCCCACCAGCCCTCTGGGCGTAGGTGGTTTAGGGAGTTTACTCTTCCACCCACCTTCTTCCCCTTCGGGGAGGGGTTTACCCCTACCCCTACCCCCTACCCTGGACCTGGACGGGGCGTTTCGCGAGGTGTCACACGGTACTGTTTCGCCCAAGACGGCTCCAAGAGCGCCTCAGAGAGCCCAAGGTGACCTCCAAGATGGCTCAAGATAACGCAAGCTGGCCCAAGATGGCTTCCAAGATGGTCTAAGAGGCCCCAAGAACGCTCCCCAAGACGGCTCCAAGAGGCCTCCGAAACTTCCAAGGAAGCTCAAAGAAGCCAAGACCCTTCAAAAACCTGAGATTAACCAGTGATTGCTGCATCGTCGCTAATATCATTATCCTTATTCCTCCTCCTCCCTCGCCTCATCCTCCTCTTCATCCCCTTCCTCCATCCCTCCTCCGTCTCCCCCTCCTCCGCTCCACCGGACCCAGTTTGGAAGCCAGTTTGGAAGTTTGGACTTCACGGTGCCATCTTGCGACCGCTACCGCGAGGCGTGTGAAAGGTGTACAGAGATGGGTCGGCGCCGCCATTCGACAGTTGCCCCTGGAGCGTTCGGTGGAGCTCCTTATGGAGCCACGGAGCCTGTCAGGGGTGTGCCACAGTCGACCTGAGGCGGCAGAGAACCGTTGCCAATGATGAGGCTGTCGGTGGAGGTCCGATGGGGCCACAAAGCGCGTGGTGCCCGAATGGACCGAGGCGGCATGCGACCGATGCCACTGGGTCCTTGGATGATGGATGCTCCATACGGGGCCGCGAAGCGTGGAAGTGGTGTGCCGAAATAGAACCGAACAGGAGGAGAGAAGAAGGCCGAAAAGAGGTGTGGACGCTATGCCGGCACAACAATATAAAGATTAGCCTGGCGGAGATCCCAACCAGATGCAGTTGTGAATACCGTCGTTGTTAGTATCGCCTTCGGTGGATCTCGTTCTGGGGCCACGAAACGCGTGAAGAAAGTGCCGAACTGGAGGGGGCGCCATGCGGGCCACCATGTCCGGAGTACGTACGACCGTCCGAAAGCGCGTAAGCAAAGCGAACACTCCATGTCGAAGCAACGCGGGCGTGACCAAGTTACTTGCCAGCATACTTCGATCAGCGGGGGTAGGGAAGGAGCAGGGCGGAGCTCCCCATGGGACCACGAAACGTGTGAGGGGTGTGTCAAAATCGGGCGGCGCCGCAATGCGGACTGCGCCACTGGGACCTTAGGTGGAGCTCCCCGTAGAGCCACGAAACGTGTGAGGGGTGTGCCAACATCGGGCGGCGCCGCCATGCGGACTGCGCCACGGGACCTTAAGTGGAGCTCCCTATGGGGCCACCAAACAGCGGCGCCGCGATGCGGACTGCGCCACTGGGACCCGAGATGGAGCTCCCCGTAGAACCACGAAACGTGTGAGGGGTGTGCCAAAATCGGGCGGCGCCGCCATGCGGACTGCGCCACGGGACCTTAGGTGGAGCTCCCTATGGGGCCACCAAACAGCGGCGCCGCCCTGCGGACTGCGCCACTGGGACCCGAGATGGAGCTCTCTATGGGGCCACGAAACGTTTCAGGTGTGTGTGTCTGTGTGTGTGCCCAAATGGGGCGGCGCCGCCATGCGAACTGCGCCACTGGGACCTCAGGTGGAGTTCCCTATAGGGCCACGAAACGTGTGAGGGGTGTGCCAAAATCAGGCGGCGCCGCCACGCGGACTGCGCCACTGGGACCCGAGATGGAGTTCCCTATGGGGCCACGAAACACGTGAGGGATGTGCCAAAATCAGGCGGCGCCGCCCTGCGGACTGCGCCACTGAGACCTTGGGTGGAGCTCCCAATAGAGCCAAGAAGCGTGTGAGGGATGTGTTAAAATCGGGCGGCGCCGCCGTTTGGACTGCGCCACTGGGACCCGAGATGGAGTTCCCTATGGGGCCACGACACGTGCGAGGGGTGTGACGAAGAAGATGACGACGATGGTGATGATGACGATGATGGTAATGTTGTTGATGATGATGACGACGATCACGATCACGTTCACGATGATGATGATGAGGAGGATGGTGATGATAGTGGTGATGATCACTATACTGATGATGATGATGCTTTCCAACGACATCAGAGGCATGAAAAGAAACGGTTGCGCATGTCGGTTTGCAAAAAGTTAGAGGCTCGTCGCAGAGGGCGGTGACTCTCGAGTCTTGCTCAGTGAAAATGCCATTTGGGTGCAATCACAGCGGGGCCTGGCGGCATGCGGTTGGCAACTAATCATAGGAACTTGCTGCTACGAGATCCTCGGCCCCGTAGTCATCCTCAAAAGGCTCAGGCTCGGCAATCTGCGCTGGCAAATCAGGGCCTAACTCTGAGCCTGGCTCTGCATTGGGAAAGGCTGCGCAGGCAGGGGCAACGCGCTCGGCTGGCAAGAAACCTCCGCTCACGAATCTGATGGGTTCTACAGGCCGCTGTCGCTGATCGTCTCCAGCCAGTGGCCCACTTCGTCCTCGAGCCAGCCCGCTGGCGCTACCCCTGTGTGGTGGGTCGCAACGTCCTCTGCCCGCAGCGCCTTCTGGATGAGTGCTCGCCCCTCCCAGCTGGGAGCCCCTTACGATGACCTTCATTTTCTGCGAATCGTAGCAACTCTCCAAGGATATGAAACTCACGGCGACCTCCAGGTCCGCTGTGTCGATGTCGGGCTCCGCGTCCTGCTCCTCGGGGGATCACTTCAGGAGGTACATACGGATCTCGTTCTTCATGCCGCCACCGATGTCGCACAGCATCAGGCCCTCCAAGGCCGCCAGCGCTAGGCTGGCTGCGGGGGAACCAATCTCATTCATCCTCTCCTTGCCCTCCGCGCCTTGCGAGCGCAGCGTATCGAGCAGACCGTTGTAGCCATCTAGCTCGTCGCTGATTTTGCTCACCAACGGGTGCTTCGACGGCATCGTGTACGTGTCGATCGCGACCGAAGAGGCCAGCCCGTTCCTCTGTGCTGTCTGCAAAACTAGTTTGAATGTCGCCTGGAGAAGTGCGAGTAAGTTCTTGTCCTTGCTGCTCCAGCCCTTGATCTGATGCTCGCCGCGGCGAGCTCGCCGCCCGCCTCGGCGCCGAGGCTTCCTGCGGCGTTCGCCAGTGTCCTCGCCCTCGCCATCCACGTCGTCCTCGGCCGCCGCTGCTGCTGTCGCCCCGCGGGGGGGTGGGGGCCTCTCGAGCCTGGGCTTGGCCGCTGGCGGAACTCCCTCGGACTTCCCCGAACTTGGCCCAGATCCTGGCAAGGCCCGGGAGGAGCTCAGGGTGGCGCCACGTCGCCCTCGCGGGGGCGGTTTTCGCCGCCGCCTCCTCGCCCTCGGGCATCCGCTCGATCGTCGTCTGGAGGCTGAGGCACACCTGGTGGCGGAAGTAGTGTCGGGGTAGCCGCTGCCAATCTGGTCCGCGTGGGTGCTGAAACTGTCGAACAGATTGCAGTCCGTGTTGCTCTCGAAAGTCGGGCACTGGTTGGTGTCGCTCCTGCGGGAGCCTTTCTGCGAGTCGGTAGTAAGAGTCCATCCGTAGCACGTCTCAACTCGCGTCTGGCCGCTAAGGTGTCCTGCACAGCTCGTGGCAGACGGGCCGGAGGCGGCACAGCTGATGATGATGATGATGATGATGATGATGATGATGATGATAATGATGATGATGATGATGATGGAGGAGGAGGAGGAGGAGGAGCGGGAAGGAGGAGGAGGAGGAGGAGGAGAGGCCGGGGGATTGTGGAGTCCCTGTGGGTTTCAAACGATTTTTTACGATATTCCACGTTGCTCCTCATCATTATTCTGATATTTCCTCTCTCGCTTTCTCTCTCTCTCTCTCTCTCTCGCTCAATCTCTCCCACTCCCATTCCCATTCCCATTCCCATCCCCATTCCCAATACCACTACCATTACCATTCCCATCCCCATTCCCATTCCCATTCACATTACCATCACCATCACCATCACCATTGCCATTCCCATTGCCATTGACATTACCAGAGCCGTTGCCACTGCCACTGTATAGCCATTGCCAGTCGCCGACCAGTTACCATTACCATTACCGTTACCATTCCCATTACCATTACCATTACCATTAGCCACTACCATTACCATGGCCATTACCATTAGCATTACCAACACCATTGCCATTGCCGTTGCCATTGCCATTGTCATTACCATTACCATTACCATTACCATTACCATTACCATCACCATTACCATTACCATTACCATTACCATTACCATTACCATTACCATTACCGCTGCCATCACCATTGCCATTACCGTTACCGTTACCAGTACCATTTCCATTACCATTACCATTACCATTACCATTGCCATTATCATTACCACTACCACTACCATTTCCATTCCCGTTCCCGTTCCAATTACCACTACGATTCCCATTCCCATTCCCATTCCCATCCCCATTACCATTCCCAGTACCATTACCATTACCATTACCATTACCATTACCATTGCCATGGCCATTGCTATTGCCATTGCCATTGCCGTTGCCATTCCCATTGCCATTGCCATTACCATGACCATTACCATTGCCATCGCCGTTGCCATTGCCATTGCCAGTCACTACCCAATTACCATTGCCATAACCATTACCATTACCGTTACCGTCACCATTACCATTCCCAGTACCATTACCATTACCACTGTCATTGCCATTACCATTACCATTGCCATTGCCATCGCCATTCGCCACTACCATTACCATTGCCATTCGCCGCTACCATTACCATTACCATTGCCATTGCCATTGCCATTCGCCACTACCATTACCATTGCCAGTACCATTACCACTCCGATTCACATTCCTATTCCCAATACCATTACCATTACAATTACCATTACAACTGCCATTGCCATTACCATTTCCTTTACCTTTACCTCTACCTTTACCTTTACCCTTACCACTCCCATTTCCGTTGCCACTACCACTGCCATTCCCATTCCGGTTCCCATTCCCATTCCCATTCCCATTCACATTCCCATTCCCGTTCCCATTCCCATTGCCATTACCATTACCATTGCCATTGCCATTGCCATTGCCATTGCCATGGCCATTACCATTGCCATTGCCATTGCCATTGCCATTACCATTGCCGTGGCCATTGCCATTGTGATTGCCATTGCCAATCGCTACCCCGTTACCACTATCATTACCGTTACCGTTACCAGTGCCATTACCATTACTCCTGTCATTACCATTACCATTCGCATTGCCATTGCCATTGCCATTAGCCACTACCATTACCATTGCCAGTATCATTTGTATTGCCGTTCCCACTCCCATGACCATTACCATTACCATTATCATTGCCATTACCATTACCATTACCATTACCATTACCTTTACCCTTACCCTTACCATTCCCATTTCCGTTACCACTACCACTACCATTCCCGTTCCCGTCCCCATTCCCATTCACATTCCCATTCCCGTTTCCATTCCCATTCACATTACCATTACCATTACCATTACACTTACCATTGTCATTGCCATTGCCATGGCCATTACCATTGCCATTGCCATTGCCGTTGCCATTGCCATTACCGTTACCGTTGCCATTGTCATTGTCATTGCCAATAGCTACCCCGTTACCACTATCATTACCGTTACCGTTACCAGTACCATTACCATTACCTGTCATTACCATTACCATTCGCATTGCCATTGCCATTGCCATTAGCCACTACCATTACCATTGCCAGTACCATTTGCATTGCCATTCCCATTCCCATGACCATTACCATTACCATTATCATTTCCATTACCATTACCATTACCATTACCATTACCGTTACCATCACCATTACCTTTACCTCTACATGTACCTTTACCTTTACCCTTATCATTCCCATTTCCATTACCAATACCACTACCATTTCTATTCCCGTTCCGGTTCCCATTCCCATTCACATTCCCATTCCCGTTCCCATTCCCACTACCACTGCCAATACCATTACACTTACCATTGCAGTTGCCATTGCCATGGCTATTATCATTGTCATTGCCATTGCGATTGCCAATCCCATTTCCATTGTCATGACCATTACCGTTGCCATTGTCATTGTCATTGCCATTGCCAATCGCTACCCCGTTACCATTACCATTACCGTTATCCTTATCATTACCAGTACCATTGCCATTACCTCTGTCATTACCATTACCATTACCATTACCATTACCATTGCCATTGCCATTGCCATTGCCATTCGCCACTACCATTACCATTGCCAGTACCATTTCCATTCCCATTCCCATTCCCATTACCATTTCCATTATCATTATCATTACCATTACCATTACCGCTGCCATTACCATTAGAATTCTCATTCTCATTCCCATTCCCATTCCCATTCCCAATACCATTACCAATTCCATTACCATTACCATTACCATTACCATTACCATTACCATTACCATTACCAGTGCCATTACCATTACCACTACCACTACCACTACCACTATCATGTCCATTCCCGTTCCCGTTCCCATTCCCATTCCCATTCCCATTACCATGACCATTACTATTACCACTGCCATTGCCATTGCCATTACCATTACCATTACCTTTACCTCTACCTCTACCTTTACCCTTACCATTACCATTGCCATGGCCATTACCATTGCCAATCCCATTGCCATTGCCATTGTCATTGCCATTCCCATCGCCATTGCGATTGCCATTACCATTACCATTACCATTACCATTACCGCTGCCATCACCATTGCCATTACCGTAACCATTACCAGTACCATTACCATTACCACTGTCATTACCATTACCATTACCATTGCCATTGCCATTGCCATTGACATTGCCATTGCCATTGCCATTGCCATTCGAGGATTTCAGTAGGAATCATTCAGTGGAGGGTTTCAGTAGGAATCAGCTGGTGGAGGATTTCAGTAGGAATCATTCAGTGGAGGGTTTCGATAGGAACCCTTCTGTCGAGGACTTCAATGTGAATCCTTCTTATGGGGGCGTTCAATAGGAATCCTTCTAGGGGGGAGGGCAGATGTGGCCACGTCGCATTCCTTCTTTTTTCTCCTGGCGTCCCCCCATCCCCCCGAAAAAAAAAAAAAACAATATGGGGGGGGGCGCCAGAAATGAAAAAACAAAAACAAAAAAAAAACAGAGAAGTAGGAGGAGGGGGAGAGGGAGGAGGAGGAGGAGGAGGCGGAGGAGGAGGAGGGGGACGACACAGAGCAGAGTTTGCACAGAAACAGTCGCGAACTCAGCGCGAAAGCCTCGCGCGCGCTTTGGAACCACAGGGACTCCACAATCCCCCGTTCTCGAGGAGGAGGGGAAGAGAAGAGAAGGAACGCGCGGCGCTGTCTCTTAAAAAAGAGGACCCAACACTCCAGGATGGTTGGGAAACAAACCTTGTGAATGTATTGCATCCAGCGCACGTGCTTCTATAACGAAAATGGCTGGGGGGAATTAAGTGTACGTTAGCCAGCACAACCTTTGGCAACACAATAGTACATGCTTGTATACAGTGCAAACGCTTCGATAACGAAAATGAGAATGGGCAAGTTACAGAAACGGGGCAAGTTACAGAAACGGCCAGGTGTAAGCGAGTGAATTTGATCTCAAGTCAGTTCCGATTATGCGAATGGCATGTTTAGGTTTTGGTCGAAATCTATGAGGAAGTCTCATTAGCTTCAGTTATAGCATGCTAGCACTGTGGACGCTCGAAATGGGTACGGAAAAATTGGCACAATGCCCAACAAAAAAATGCTGCCCCAAACCAACAGCGACCGCTGTCGGGCAAGCGGCCGTCTGTCTCAAATGGACACCGCCCGCGGCGACACCGACAGCGAGAGTCCTGGTCAAAACGAACAAGTGCTGCTGTCGGTCTTCGTGCCCAGTCTCTCCGTTCCCGCTTCCATCGTACCGGAACACAGCTTAACACAGCTTCCAAGAGCTTTTCCTGGGAGGGCAGGAGAGCCCAGAATCGAATCGATGCGTCGAACTGGCGAGCAGAACGAATCGGATCGGCGGAAACCGGCGGCCGAGTCGACATCGTCGACTCGGCGGACATCGGCAGGCCATTCTGCCTCCGATGAGACCTCGGAACCAAAAACCGGAACCCCGAGCCGAATCGAAGCGGAATCGGAAGCCGTCGAAGTCGAATCGACGCGAATCGGAGGAGCCGGCACGAGCCCTGCGGGAGGGGCCCCGAGGTCCGGCGGGGGCCTCGCCGTGCCCCGCGGCGGCGGCGCGCGCGCACAGGGCCTCGAAGCCCCGCAGCAGCAGCAGCCGCACCTCCCGCCCGGCGGCCTCCCCGCCGCCCCCGGCTGGGCAGGCGCCGGCCTCGCGGCCCCCCGGCACGGGGGAAGCCTTCACGCCGTGGTCGCCGCTGGGCCGACGACCCGTATCAGTGGGAGGCGCGCGCAGGGCGGTCCTTCGTCAGAACACGAGGCCCCGGGACCCAGGAGGGCGGGGCGTTCGGTCCGCACCCCCCGTCACGCGCGCGGCGTGGCTCGCGTTTTCTCGTCATGTCTTCGCTGTCCCTCGTTTTGCCTCCAGCCCGCCTCTGCTGTAGAAAAAACGGCGAGGTCGAAGCGACGACGGCCCACGAGATCGCCCCAACGCCGTTGGGGTCGGCCCCTGCCTCACGGCAGCCCTCCAGGAGCCACGCGGGCGTCTCGGGGCCCGTGGCAGCGGCGTCGCCGCCGCCGCCGGACAAGGAGAGGGCGACGCCGTCGGCGCGCAGCAGCCTGCCCAGCGGCACCGACTCCCGAAGGCTGCCGCCGGCGCCGAAGGAGGGACCCTTCTCCAGCTTCAGGAGCGCGAGCTCCATCGCCGCCGTCGCGTCTGCGGCCGAGTCGTGGCCGAGGCTCCGGTCCAGCTTCCGCTTCAGGAACGTCTGGACCAGCCCTGCCAGGCTGTGTCGGTAGGGCCAGCCCCGGGAGTGGGGGTACAGCACCGCGGTGTCGAGCACCCGCTCGTGCACCAGCTTGAGCGCGCGCAGGTCGTTCTCCAAGGAATGGCCGACAAGAATGCTCCGCTCCGAAATCAGCCCGCCGAGCAGCTTGGCCTGAACGTCGGCCAGAGTGACCTGCACGCCGTCCAGCGCTTCCTCAGTTATGCCGCTGTACTGGGTAAGGTAGTCGGTCACTGCTTCCGCAGGCCGCACCAGGGAATCATAGAGCAGACGCCCATTCGCGTCGACGAGGGACACCCGCGCCAGAGCGTGGCCCGAGGCCGTCAGCACCATCTCGCAGTCCAGCCCGACCAAGTCCGAGCGGTCGTCCCCGGCCCCGGCGCCGCCCCCGCCGAGCCCGCGAGTGGTGACCCAGCCGGCGGCTGGTTCTCCGGCCGCGCCGAGCGTCGGGTACTCGCTCCGCTCGCGCGCCTCGGCCGACGCGAGGTACGCGCTCAGCGGCGTCGTCGCCGCCTCGGGGTCCAGCGGCTGGGCGGGCGCCGCGGCGCGCTTCTTGCTCGAGACCGCGGGCCTCCCCCGCGCGGCGAGCAGGGTGCGCAGCATGCGGTCGCCCGCGAGGGCCGCGTCCTTGCCGGGGAAGTGCTCCACCTCTGGGCCGGCGGCGCGCAGGGGGGGCCCCATGGGCAAGAGCGGCCTTAAGGGCGCCGCTTCGGTCTTCCAGGTGGAGCCGGAGGCGCGCGCTCCGCGCGCCAGGGAGGGGGGTCCAGCGCAGAGCCAAGAAACCCGCGCGGAGCGCAAAAAGTTTATGCTTGTGGCGTTTTTTCTTTTTCGATGACCCCCGTCGGGGGTTACCCCTCGATCGCGGCACGCCGACGAGGCGTGGTTGACCTCCGTCGAGGGGGCACCCCCGACGGGGGTCAACCTTGCCTCGTCGGCGTCGTCGTCGTCGTCGTCGACGTAGTCGTCGTCGCCGTCGTCGCCGTCGTCGTCGTCGACGCCTACGCCGACACGCAGAGGCGCCCCTGGAGGCCACCTCCCCGGGGGCGCGGGAGCCCACGGCCCCCGGCCCGCGCAGCAGCCGCGACAGCAGCGGCGCGGCGCCACCCGCGGCGCGGGCGGTGCCGGCGTCCAGGCAGGGCAGGAGCACCACGGCGGCGGCCTCGACCAGGGGCATGCCCCGGACGCAGAGCCACCTCTTGGATGGACGGCGGCGACGGCGGCGACGACGGCGACGAGGACGAGGACGAGGACGAGGACGGCGAGGACGAGGAAAAGGACGAGGACGATATGACGATGACGATGACGACCTGGCAGCGTCACGACGACGATACGACGATGGCCATACGACGATGATCATGACGAAGCTGACGTCGTAATCGTCATCGGCCTCAGCAGCAGCAGCAGCATCATCATCATCATCATTACCATCATCATCATCATCATCATCATCACCACCACCACCACCACCACCACCACCATCATCATCATCATCATCATCACCATCATCACCATCATCACGAACACCATCACCATCACCATCATCATCATCATCATCAGCATCATTATCATCGTCACCATCACCATCACCATCACCATCATCATCACCATCATCATCATCATCACCATCAGCATCACCATCACCATCACCATCACCATCACCATCATCATCATCATCATCACCACCATCATCATCATCATCATCATCATCACCACCATCACCACCACGACCACCACCATCACCATCACCATCATCATCATCATCATCATCATCATCATCGTCGTCGTCGTCGTCGCCGTCGTCAGCATCATCATCATCATCACCATCATCATCATCATCATCATCATCATCATCACCATCACCATCACCATCACCATCATCAGCATCACCATCATCATCATCATCATCATCATCACCACCATCATCATCATCATCATCGTCATCGTCATCATCATCATCAGCATCATCATCATCCTCATCATCATTATCATCATCATCATCAAAATCATCAGCATCATCATCATCATCATCATCATCATCGAAATCATCATCATCATCATCAGCATCACCATCATCATCCATCATCATCATCAAAACCAGCATCATCATCACCACCACCACAAACCATCATCATCATCATCATCATCATCATCATCATCATCATCATCATCATCATCATCATCATCATCATCATCATCATCTTCATCATGATCATCATCATCCTGCTCCTCGTCGTCGACGTCACCGTCGTCACCGTCCTGATCGTCCTCATGATTATCATCATCATCATCCTCATCATCCTCATCATGTGCATCATCATAACCATCACCACCACCACCATCATCATCAGCAGCATCATCATCATAATCATCATCAAAATCATCATCATCAGCATCATCCGAAGCATCATCATCACCACCGCCACCATCATCAGCATCATCATCATCATCAGCAGCATCAGCATCATCATCATCGTCATCATTACCACCATCATCGACATCGTCATCGTCATCAACAACATCATCATCAGCATCATCATCATCATCTTCATCATCATCGTCGTCGTCATCGTCGTCGTCATCATCATCATCAGCAGCAACAGCAGCAGCATCATCATCCTCATCATCATCCTCATCATCATCATCAGCATCATCATCACCATCACCATCATCATCCGCAGCATCAATGTCACCATCATCAGCACCAGCATCAACATCATCATCAGCATCACGAGCATCATCATCATCATCATCATCATCAGCATCAGCATCATCATTATTATGATCGTCCTCATCCTCATAGTGATCATCATCCTCATCCTCACCATCATCGTCATTATCATAATCATCCTCACTCTAATCGTCATTATCATCAGATTCATCATCATCATCAGCATCAGCATCAGCATCAGCATCGGTATCATCATCATCATCATCATCATCATCATCATCATCATCATCATCATCATCAGCATCATCATCATCACCACGATCATCATCAGCATCATCATCATCAGCATCATCATCATCATCATCATCATCTTCATCATCATCATCATCATCAGCATCATCATCATCATCATTATCAGCATCATCATCATCATCATCATCAGCATCATCATCATCATCATCAGCATCAGCAGCAGCATCATCATCATCATCATCATCATCACCATCACCATCAGCATCATCATCATCATCCTCATCATCCTCATCCTCATCATCCTCATCATCCTCATCCTCATCATGGTCATCCTCATCATCATCATCCTCATCCTCATCCTCATCTCATCCTCATCATCATCATCATCATCACCATCATCATCATCATCATCATCATCACACCACCACCACCACCACCACCATCATCATCACCACCACCACCACCACCACCACCATCATCATCATCATCATCATCATCATCATCATCATCATCATCATCATCATCATCATCATCATCATCATCATCATCATCATCATCATCATCATCATCATCATCATCATCATCATCATCATCATCATCATCATCATCATCATCATCATCATCATCATCATCATCATCATCATCACACATCATCATCATCATCATCATCATCATCATCATCATCATCATCATCATCATCATCATCATCATCATCATCATCATCATCATCATCATCATCATCATAATCATCATCATCATCATCATCATCATCATCATCATCATCATCATCATCGGCAAAATAATGCATGACCAATGGTCATGATGACCATCAACTGTCGAAGGCGCGCGCGGCTTCTCGGGTCGGCGCTGACCCCCCCTCCTTGGCGCGCGGGCGCGCCGGAGGCGCCGCCCAGGGGGTTCTGGCCCAGATCCGAGAAATCCGGGAGGGCCTCCGAAAGTGCGTGGCTGTGAAGTTTCTGAACATCCTTCTTCTGAATACTCTTGTTCTTGTTCCCTGCCGTTAAATCACTGCCGTATTCCTACACCCTTCGCACTAGAGCCCCTCGAGTCCCCAAGAGACCCCCAAGAGGCCCCGAAGACGCTACACGGAGCCCCAAAACGGATCCCAAGAGGCCTCAAAACGGCCCCTGGGAGGCCCCCGAGAGGCATCCCGCGAGATCCCAACGAACACCCTAGAGCCATGTGACCCACAACCCAGGCACGGTGGCGGGATGGGCCGGAGGCCATTAGAATAGCACCAGTCGACCCTGTTCTGACCATCCCTCTTCTGAGTCCTTCTCTTCTCATTCCCCGCCCTCCTCTCGCCGCCACACGATCATACCCTTCGCACGATGTGCTTCCCCATTCGCACTGTGTCGAGCCTCGGGTTCTCCCCGAACTCGGCCGTGAACACGCGCAGCAGCAGGTTCTGCACGTCGTTCAGGCACGGACTCGGCTGGCCACCCTGCAGGCTCACGGCCACGGCGGGCTCGGGCCGCTGCCTCTTCGGGCCCGCCTCGCCCGCCGCGGGCGCCGCCCGCCTCTTCATGGGAGACTCCCCCTGCGGGCGCGCCGCCGGGGCGCCGGTGCCTCACGAGGGGCGTGGCGACCCCAGCCCCCGACGTTTGGGGGGGGGGCTTCGAGGGGGCCGAAGGGGGGGGGGCCCAGGTCGGGGAGGTGCGGTAGGCTTGCCGCCCACTCTCGATATGTCAGGGGCGCGTCCGAGGTGGCCCCCAGAGGGCGCGTCCCCGAGCTTCAGGAGAAGCAAGAGCACCACTACCACCAGCCAGGGGGATGGCCGCTCCTCCCCCTCCTCCGCCTGCTTTTCCGGGGGGGGGCTCGGGGGCTGGGGGCGAAACCTCGCCTGTGAGGGCGTGCGCTCCCGCGGCGCCCAGGCCTCGTGCAGGCGCTGCCTCGAGCCAAAGCTGCCAACGGATCCGCCCGCCCGCGGTCGGTGGAAGGCGTGCTGCGGGCACGGGCGCGAGAGCCGTGCGTCGCAGTTCGCCCCGAGCGGAGGAGAGAGCCCCGTGAATCATGAGAGCAAAAAGAGCCACTACCACCAGAACTCCATAGAACTCCGTTCCCAAAGGCCCCTCCCCCGAGCTGGTGGCACTCCGTGCCGGGCACCCTCTGGGGGCGCGCCCAGACCAGGGTGCCACCAGCTCGGGGAAGGGGGAGCGGCCAGCCCCCCCAGCTGGTAGTAGTCGTTCTCTCTCCTCTGGTGAATGAGGGAGGGAGCGGGAAGAAGGCCGGTGCGCTGAGAGAAGGCCCCCCCCCCAGCTGGTGGCAGTGGTTCTCTCCCCTTC